CTCACTCCAATTTCTGTCTCACAAGGATTTAAGTCTTTACCTTCCATGATCATTGACAATTAACTAAATATCTACAGACACATCTCCAAACACCAGATAATCATGACAGCTTAAGCTACAATAGGAATGTGCAGTAGCAGAAGCCTAATTCAGAACAATTCAACAAGAAGACAGCAGGAAACAATTTATTGACTTCAACGTATAATGTCATGGAACATCCTATCAATTAGTGGCAACCACAATCATGACTCCAATATGCCCTCCTTTCAAATGTAAGGAAATTAATGAAATTGGCACCATCCCTTCAGTTTTTCCTTAACAAAATCAGAGGTTTGTATGTATTGTATGTGTTATCAATATCAAAGATAAATGAATAAATAAACCATCAAAACTGTAAAAAATGTTTCTTACACATGTACAATTAAAAAATTAAAAGTTCACCTCATAAACAGAGTTGTCTAACTATCCATAGACAAAAAAGACAAGCAAAAGCTTAAAGAGTTAGCTTATAGCAAAATCCATGGCCCCATTTCTCTAAACCACACCTGCTGGTGGCATGTTCCCATCTTCACTCATTTCCCGCTTTGTTTTAAGCATACAATGATCAAGCACAAAACAGCAAACTTTTAAAGAACTCATATTACACCACATATGGTTCCTTGCCCTTTGTTTAGACATTGAATATTCATCCCCAAACTGAAATTCCAAATAATCACAAGAGAATATGAAAAACATAGAGAACTTATCCATATCCAATATGCAAGCCCTTAAGTTAGCAAACAGAGTTAAAGCAAAACCAATTTTAGTGAAACCCCTAAACCCTATACCCATTTCAGAAAACCCACTAAACCAATTTCAGAGAAACCCCCAAACCCTAAACCAATTTCAAACAACCCCGTCAACCAATTTCAAACAAACCCATAAACCCTAAGCCGTAAAAGAATTCCGATGAACAGTACCTGTTTGCTGTGAATGATGGCGTTGTTCTTCGATGAACAGATTTCGCTGGGAGAGGAAGACAGAAGAGAGAGTGACAGCTGAGCGACGAGAGATGAGAGAGTTAGAGCTGAGAGACGAGAGAGTGAGAGCAGAGTGACCAGAGAGTGAAGATGAAGAGACTGAGCGACGGAGAGGGTTTAGGGGAGGTAAATTTCAGAAAATGTGTTAGGAGAGCAATAAGGGTACAATAATTTTATATTTATAGTTAATAGTTATAAAAAAATTGGGAAGGGATGGTATTTTTAGTTAAAATTATCAAAGGGGTGGCACTGAGGGTCATTTCCCTATTTTTTTTTTGTGATCAAATTAAAATATTATGTAAAATTCAGTGAGCGAAAAAATATTTTTACCGCATAGAAAGAAAAAACCATCTAATGCTCCGTATTAACTATTCAGCCCAAACAAATCAATACATTTGTTTCTGTCACGTGGCGGGAATAGACCGCGGCTGTTTGCAGGAAAAACAGTAGGCCTTCCCGCATCTGATTACTTGTTTCCACGCCGTTCCCCTTTCTCTCTCTCTCTCTCTGTCAATCGATTCGCCTACCTCCTCTCTGAGTATTCAGCCGCGCACGACCTCATATCCGCCGTCGCCTCCACCGACGCCCTCTCTGAGCCGTCACCCATTCACGAACCCTCTCTCCCAGTCTCTGATTCATAGATATTAGAGATGGATGCTAAAGCCAGGAACAAGGCATTGTTTCGTGCTAGATTGAATGCCCAGAAGAAGGAAAAGCGAATAGACTCTCCTCTTGTACGGTCAGTGCTCACACCTCCTCTTTTCCAATTTTGCTTTTACACACACACACGCGCACACACACACACACATGTATTATTATTTGTAACTGGGTACATATTTTTACTTATAAGAACACAAATAAATTTTTTTAGACTAGGGACTTTCAGTTTAATGTAATATTATCATTTAAATTGGAACCCTTTTCGTAAATTTTGTTTTCAATTTGTGTTTTCGAAACATAAATTGATTATTTTTAGTATTTAAAATTGGGACACCTAATGTGCATTTGTTTAAAATACTTAATTTCATTTTTTAAGTAGTAGTTTTCTAGTTAAAAGAAAAGTTAAGCAGTGTTTATTACTGTTGGTTCTATCAGAGTCTTGAATGTTTAAATGGTTTCATGTTAGAAAATCATGCTCTCAAATTTTGATCTTGTTAAAACTTTGAGCTAATCAAGCACAAAGTATGAGTTTGGTTTAGCAGTCCCCTTTAACTGTTTACAAATGCATTATTCTGTTCTAGCTAGTAAAATATAATTTGTCAAGTAGTTTCTAATTCCTTAACCATAATTTGTAATGAACCTCACGAGAACTTGTTTTAGATAGAAATGGGAATCAGCTAAGAAGATACGGATTATGGAATGTCAAACAATCTTACTTTTATCTTTCCTCATTGTATCTAGGAATTTGTTATGTATACTATCTTTCCTTTACTTTTTGTTTGATGTTTTCACTTGTAACTACTTCTGATATCTTGTTTTCTACTGATGAAGCTAATTTGTATATTTAAATTGCTAAGACAGAGTTTCTGACTGCTTCATTCTGCCCTTTTGTGCGATACATACAGGTATAATGAATCTGACCAGCCCGTATGCAGGGTTTGTGACATCGCTCTGAAATCTGAATTTCAGTGGGAAGCACATCAAGCATCTCGTAAACATCATGAGGTGATAACGATTCATATAGTACTTTTCTAGTCATAGCATTAAGCAACTAAGAGACCTACAAACATCTTGTAATATGGAAAATCCAAAGTTGATGTGAAAGACCTAAATTTTTTAAAAATAATATGAATAGAAGAATGCATCAATTTTTCCTGCTTCTTGACAGTTATAGAAATAACACATTTGTTGTCAATCAAATCATGTATTGTGATGTTGGAACATTACAATACTGTTGAATTCAATAACACCATTTTAGCTCTTGAAAGGTGGTTTTGTTACCATCTCGAATGGTTCCCTCTATCTCGTTGCTCAGCAGTCTAGGTCTCATCCCCTCCCTCTAAATGTAGGCAATGTGAAAATGATCTTGTTCGGTTACATCTTATTTCTTGTATACTAATTTGGCTTGGATAACCCATACATTTAATCTATATTTGGCAGAAAGAGGAAGCATTTCCTTCTGTAAGACTCTCTAGATTTGAACCTGGGATGCCATAAATATGGATGTGTTTCCTTTTTCTTTATCTTTAATTTAGTTATCTGACTGAGTATTACTGAAGTGATGTTTCTATTGCAATAGGCAATAAATAATCTCAAAGCTACAGCAGCTGGACTAAACCGAGTCAACAACGCAAAAACTGAAGTCCGTCCAGAATTGTCGAAACCTGAGCCTGAACATCTTCCGGAGTTGCATATCCCAAGACCTGAACGCTCTACAGAATTGCCTAGACCTCAAACGTCATCTGGGCTTCCTCCAGATTTTTTTGACAACAATGAGGCACAAAAACGAAATACTGGTGAGAATCTATTTCGTTTATATTACTATTATCACCACCCTATTGCTTAGTTTGATTGCCTGAGGAGTAAGGACTGTATCATCTTGTATAGAGGATACAGAATTATATAAGGGAGAGACTGTATGTACTAGCCTTTTTGCACGGGTGTAGCTTGCTCTTTCATTTATTTGAACAAAAGGAGGATAGTTCTACTCAACTTTGCAGAATTCAGTTGTTGGTTATAATATACTCAATTTACTTCACAATTATTAAATTTTACTTGGGTAGCTTGAAAAAGATTTATGTAGTTAGCCATGATAAAGAGTAAGAAACTGGGTCAAGGGTGAGTTCATTCAACTTCTTGCTTTCCAGATTACAAATATAAGTGTAGCACTGCTTATGAATATAGTTATTCCAATATGTGTGCACAATCCAAATCTTTATAATATTTCGTCTTTTTTTGCATGGGTTTTTATCACAAATGGTCTCCGAGGTTGGCAAAATTATCACACCTTTGGCCCTTTATGTTTTTTTTTCTGACATTATTGGTCCTCTATGTTACACCTCACACATCAATTTGGTCCTGCTGTTTAGGTTCTGTCAAAATTTCTGTTAAATTGATGACGTGTCATGTATGTGGTGCCCACATATCCAATGAGATAATGACACGTGGATCTAAATAAAAAATAATTTTTTTTTAAAAAAAAATGGTTTAACATTTAAAATCTAAAAAAATTAGAAACTTAAATAAAGAAAATAAAAAATAAAAACTGCAGCAACTCTCCCCCTCCGCCCCTTCCCCTCATTTCCCTTCTGTCTCTCACCCTCTCTTTTTCTCTAGCCCCACCGGAGAAGGGATGAAATTAACCAAAATTTAAATAAAAGAGAGGGAGGGAGAGAGAGAGAGAGAGAGAGAGAGAGAGGGGGAGAAGAGGAAGAGGAGGGAGAGAGAAGCAAAGGGTGGATCTACGAAGGGGGGAGGGGTTGGCAAGGGGGGATGCTGACGTGTATTTTTGTTTTTGTTTCAGTTTTAATATTTTTTATTTATAAAAGGACTTAATTTTCTTTTTAAAAAGGATTTTAAGTTTTAAAATATTTAAAATATATCATATATTGTATTTAAAGCCACGTGGCATTATCACATGGTCACATCGGCAATTTAACAGAAATTTTGAAGGAACCTAACGGCATGACCAAATTGATGTGTGAGGTGTAACATAATTAAAGGACTAATAATGTTAGAAAAAAACATAAAGGACCAAAGGTGATAATTTCGCCAACCTCAAGGACCATTTGTGATAAAAACCCCTGTTTGCATTTCTGTTGCTAGGCATATCCTAAGTATGCTTTCTTGCTTTCCTTGTTGTGAATACTTTCTTATTGTTGTTGTTTGTTATTTTGACTGCTGTTCTTAACTATGAAGGAGATCCTCTCAGGTAATATAATAAATAATAAGTGATAATTGTATTGATGGAAACAGAGTTTCACAGCACCTGTGTCCTCAGCAAAAATGTAGAAAATATCTGTATAGGATAGCATCTGAAGCTGTACAACTAGTTTTTGAATTCATTGATGGCATTAGTTATATATAGGCAATTACCTATCTCCTTACTTTCAGAATTTTGTGATAATTGGCTGCTCTGAAGAGTTGAGCCCTTGCACTTATGGTGGATAGCCTGCAACTTTATGATTGGATTAGTTACACAGTATTTCTTTTACTATTACATATAATTAGGTGAGTGTATAACTTATAAGCTTATTCCAAAGAAGTCCTATGGCTGCCCTACCAAAAAAAGAGTTCTAGTTGAGCAGTTTTACTCTTCATGCAGCCCTAGAATTAATATATTGCAATAGATGATTGTAACTGCTTTTGGTTTGCCTAACTGGAGAAAAATTCAGATACGCTTGTGTGGATCTTCTCCTAATTTATATTTCTGTTCTTGGAGGAAATATAGATTAGTTGTTACTTCATGATTTAAGATTCCAATAGTTTTTTCTCCTATGAAGCAAATAAGAGAATAATAAGTTGTGCTTACTTGAAAAATTAGCATAATTGAATAAATAATTTTTTTTGTCTAATTGTTTTGGTTGACAAAGCATATTAGGAGCTTAATTGTTTAATTTACATGAAGTCACTTTTTATATCAAGGTTTAGGGACTAAATAATTTTATGATATGATATCTACCAGTTGCAGTTTTTTTCCCATATTATAAAATTGTGGATAATCTTGTTAAAATGTGAATCTGCTTGTTGTTTGATTTGATTAAGATTATTTTTAAAGAACTTTTGATTATCAGTAGAATATTTTCTGGCCTTTTAGCTTACCTGCTCTATGTCTTTTAAGTTGTTTGTTTCATGTCCTGTGGTTGGATAAAAACACTGAGTTGAGATTAGGCTTGAACCCCTTGATCTTCTTCTTGTTGGGTTTTATTATTATGTCTTTTTTTGGGAGGAAGAATATTTATAAGCCCTACATTAGAATTCTCCACCAAAACACACCCACCAGATTAATACTTAATCCATAGAACTCAAAAGCATATTTCTCATGCAATTTAGCCCAATAGTTTGTTTTATTAGTTTAACCCCTAACTTGATATGACTAAAGCACCGATAGGCCTGAGATTTATAAACTTTTTTTCTCAACTGAAAATTTTTTATGTTGATTTTTTTCTTGGAAAGTTCCAATTAAAACTGCAAATTTCTCTTGCTTATTGAAAAAAACAACTAGATGTGTAAATATGTGATTCGTGTATGTTCTTGCTCCTCGTTTTCTATTAGTAGAATTGATTTATTTGATAAATAAAATGCTAAAAAAGTACAATTCCCACCATCAATAGTTTTTCCTGCTTTCATTGCATCATTAGAAGTAAATGAAATTGAAAATGTTAGCACTATAATCTAATTTACCCCAGGGTCATTGAGATGTAACCAAAGCTAATAATCAATGATGGTTGAGACTGGAGAAGATATTGGCAATGGGGTTTGAATTGTTATTGGAATTTTGAAATAGCGAAACAAATTTTATTAGTGGAAAAACAGAAAACAAATTGGTGTTCCCCTCATTAAGCCTCTTTCTTCGCTCATAATCAAGTGAATCAAGTGAAGGAAACAAGGAACTCCACTAAAATTTTCACTTCAACAAAAAACATACCCACAACAATCCTTTTTCAATAGTCCTTTATTTTATGACATTTAGTTAATATCACGCCTTTTCTTTAATGCCATTAGGCCACAAACAAACTGTTCGGCTTTCTTGTTTGATTATAATGTTTTTGGGTTTTATGAATCAATTCTTAAAGTTATGGTTTGTTATGGTTTTGATATGTGCCTTTTCTTACTTAGGTAATTTCCCCTTTTTTTGTTGTTGTAGACGGTAATTAATCTTTCCTTTTGGAAAACCAAATCTTTTGTGTCATATGTGCTGCCTAGATGAAATTGGATCATTTATTTATATTGTGCTGATATTGGCACAATATGGTGTCATTCTAGAGCTTAATTTTCTGTGGTTTATACTAAAATGATGTAGGTTTGGTCGTATGCACAATACCAAAACAGAAAATCTAAGCAGAGGATTTGAACTCTGCCTGGAAGGCAATTTTTTGGATTTAGTTTTTTAACTGTCAATCCGTTTCTTTTTTTATGTTTTAGTGATATCGATTAGTCTTTCTAACTTAACAATATCGTCTTAGGAACGGACTCTATCACAGTGGCGGAGACTGATTCATACAAAAAGATTGAGACGAGAAAAACTGAGCCTGCCAGGGACCTTACACAGACATCATCAAAGATTGCCAGTTCAGAAGCTAAGCAAATAAAGGGAGCTCTTCCTGAGGGCTTCTTTGATAACAAGGAAGCTGATTTATCCGCACGGGGAATAAAGCTTGTTAAGCCAGATGTCAAGTAAGTACACTGTTCTTATTAATAACTCCTAGATTATAATGGTGTTATTGTCTTAAAAGTTCTCTTATTTGTTTTGATTTTTCTAGTCTAGTATGTATTTACTCCCAAAGGTTATTGGTTCTAAATTCCATTCTAGATATACATAGAAGTTCCAAATTCCGGTAAATATACTTGTTCATGTTAAAAGGATTCTGAAAAGGCTTAAAGAGTTCATAATTTGAATCTTCATACAGTGTAACTTGGGAAGTTTGTTATTTGAAATTTTTAGTTTTTGCAATGTTGTCTTGAATATGCTGGGTCTCTTAGTGTCTTTTAGATTGTCGGGTGCAGTTGTTATCTTTTAATGTCACTTTATTTTATTTTATTTTTCCCCTCTTGAAATAGGTTTAACATGAACACATTGTGACCTTGAATTTGTGTTTAACTGTTGGGTAGAGATGAGTACAAAGAATTTGAAAAGTTGATCCAAGAGGACTTGAAGGAGGTCGATAATAGGTTGGAAGAAGAAGAGGTGAGCGCTTTTATATCCTTGCACTATTGTTTGTACTCTACATGAGGTTGATTTGCACACAAACTTATATCATTCTCTTGTCATTGCAATTGTGCCACAGATTGATGCCGCTGAGATGATAGAAGAGGCTGAATCAGTAGAGCAAAGGTGAGTTCAGCAATAAAGGTGCTGTGCTTTGATTTTATACATTCTTTTCTTTTTTGTTACTCTATTTTCCTCACTGTAAACTTTTACCTTCTTCGTTCTCCTTTCTCTCAGGACATATCGGGAGAAAGTAGAATTGTTAAGAAAGAAGAAAATGGAGTTGAAGGCTGCGAGTGCTTCCAAGCGCAGAAGAGTTTCGGAGATTGTCAAAAAGGAGCCCAGTCATGATGAGTCATCAAGTGATAGTGACAGTGATGAGAATTTTGCAGTGGATTGGAGAGCTCAACATCTTTGAATGCACTTGGTCTCCTGTAGGATCTGTTCTTGACATGTTCAAAACCAGACAATGTAATGTGCCAGTGACTGGCTTTGGAACCTGTAGGTTCTTTGGTGCTAAAATTGGAAGCTTTGCTGAGGCTATGTGCAATTGGGAGTTTGTGAAGGTGAAAGTAAACATGTATACCGAACTCATTTGGGCATCCCCACGATATTGCATGCACTTAAAAGAAGTGAAAAAAAAAAAAAACCACATTTTCCCGTCGACATACTTATTTACAGCTTCAATTCAATCCATTCATTCTCCATGCTTAATTTGTTGGGAATTTTGTTTGGCCAATAATTTGTTGGGAATTTACAATGCTATTATTAGATCTCAAGGTTTCTCAATAAAGTCTACGATGGCAAGATTTCATCAAATTAATTCATGGTTAGTTGTGCCATCAATGAAGATTATATATCCCCCACTTCTTAAGTTCAATTTGGCATGAAACCAATTGACAAACACCATCATGATCTAAAAGAAAAAAAGAAGAAGGAAATAAGCCATCGACCAAATTCATACGTGAATAAATAGTACAAGACATTCTGAGAGAGGGAAGCTGTTGACCTTGTTTTCCTTTTCATGGGTATTCTATGAATCTATTGATAAGAAAAAGTAATAGCACAAAGAAACAACCAATGAATTAGGATTAAGGGGTATAGAATGCCAAAGCCAGTTACACCAATGTGAACCCAAAAATGTGTTCAACCAAATGCAACACAAAAAGGCATAGAGCCCACTATAATCATTAAATTCACGAAAGAAATAAGGTCCACACAACGATATGAAGCTCACATAAAGGCAAAAGCCAACAAAATACAACACATACTTAGGAAACCCTAAGACAAAGAACACGAAAGGCATAAGGCCCACATAAGGACATGAAGCCCACATAAAGGCAAAACCCAACAAAATATAACACATACTTAGGAAATCCTGAGACAGAACACGAAAATGCTACACCACCCAAAACCCAGGAGCCGCGCCACCAATGCAAGATCACAACCAACGAAGAGAAACCGGTAACCAAAGCTACAAACAGAAGATGGTGATGGACAAGCTACCAAAGCTACAAAGAGCGCTATCATAATCCAAACAATAAGTGACACATACACTTTAAAGCATCCCCAACTCCATAAGTGCCACCGATGATAAACGATGGAAGAAACACCCGTGGAGTCAAAGAGCAAATGATGGTGGTGGAGATCATAGGCCAAGGCACAACCACCGATGATTGGTGGAGAAAATGCATAGCAGAAACCTATAAACACAGAAACATAAAAACAAAGCCAATGCTGCCGAGTTCACCACAGTCGTCACCTCCGCTGTTGCTGCCGACACAAGGGTGGAAGGTCATGTGGGGATCAGTTTTACATTAATTACAACCGTTTTATATTAAAATTTACCAACCGTTTTATATTCAATATTGACTCATGATGCCATGCATATTCATTGAACACTTGTATTCCTATGAAATACACAATTCATTGATTAGTCATGACTGATTATTTGTTTATAAAAGTACTTTAAAATTTTAAATTACATTCAATATATAGGATATACATTCTTCCATTTTTCTAACAGCCTAATATTTCTTTTCTTTAAGAAAACATGGATTTTTAAAATCAAGTACATTCCAATATACCAACCAATGGTGATATTCAAATTTTCAAACACTGTTTAGGAAAGTTTATTATTAACGAATACTCGATCCTACACTTGTACTTCAAAGTTGAATGGCATATAATATAGTATTAATTACATGCTTACAATGAACAGTTTTAATACGGTTTAAGAAATAATATATCTTCTTGACTGCGTATGCTATCCTTTGAGTTGTTAAAATTATTTGGCAGTGTGATTAATTACAAACAAACAGTTAGTCTGCTGATATTTATCTTATCAATGTCAGAGGAAGTAATAAATTCGAATTCTCGCACCCTACCTCATTGATTTTACAATAAATATATAAAATAATAATAATAATAATAATAATAATAATAATAAAAGGTGATTGATTTGTTCAAATTATCTCTACAACTCACAAAATTGGCGTCTACAATTGAAATCAAAGTCATTCAGATACTATTACATTTCACTCGTCCATGATAACCCCCTCATTTTGGACATAAACTTAGCAACATCATCATGACATGAGCAGAGACATTAAGATTCCTCTTCTCCAAGATCGTGTCCTTGAGGATCTTAGAAATTGTTTCTACCTCCACCTGCTAGAAACATTTGTCAAGGCACACACGCAAGCCAACCCACATTGATTCTGCCTCGCCGCAAGGCTAGATGAAAGAGTACTGATATTTTCATTCTCTGTCCTATTTCTCCACCCAATCTTATTTTCAAAATTTTAAGGACAAATTCATTCCTTTGTAAAATGGATTCTAAGGACTTAGCAACAATTAAGTTGGAATATTAATCGAGATTAATCCAATGGCACAGACTTTCAAAATTTTACTACCCACCAATCACCGGATTTACCCATTTACACGCCCAATCCAGCTCAAGTTCGTCTTGCTCTCTCTAACTCTCTCGTGTTGCACGCTTCAACACTACTACATTTTACACTTCGCGCGACGAAGGTAATTTCGTCGCGCAAAATACATTGTAGTCGCACAAATTTTAGCGCGACAGAAACTTTGTCGTGCAAAAATCGTGAAGAAAGACTTTGCGCAACGAAGTTTTTTCATTGGTTGCGCAAAGTGACTTTGCGTGACGAAAAAATATTTGCCCCGCAAAGTGACTTTGTGCGACGAAAAATATTGGTCGCGCAAAGTTTTGCGCGACGAAAACATTGGTCGTGCAAAGTTTTGCGCGACAAAAAAATTTTAAAAAAAATTTCCCGCGTCCCATTTTTGGTACCCGCCCAAATTTTTAGAGTTTTTCGCGACGAATATTAATGTCGCGCAAATATTTGCACGACGAAATATTTTAGTTTTTGACTTTTAGATTTATTATTTCTTTAATATTAATTTAATTATTTCAAATTTTTACTTTTTAAATTGAATTTAATTGTATGATTTTTTTCGTTACTTTAATTTAATTATATTAATTTTTTTTGAATTTTTACTTTTTAAATTTAATTTAATTGTATGATATTTTTTAATTACTTTAATTTAAATTGACATATTCAAAATAGCTTCCTAATCCTCAACTTTAGCCGTCAAAGTCTCGATGATTCCCTACCAAAAAAAAAAAGGTCAAATAACAAAAAAGAAAAGAAAAAGAAGGGATAATCTCCCCTAATATTGTTATACCACAAATCCGACCCAAACCCCAATCCCTCCCCTTTACTCAACCTCAAACCCCACACAAACTCAAAACTAACTCCAAAAACACATATTAATGAAAAAAATTTAAAATTTGGAGAGAATATACCTTTTGGCAAGATTGAGAGTGAGTGAGAATGAAAGAGAGAAGTAAGTGTGAGAGAATTAGAAAAGAGAGATGAGAGAGTGAGTGAGAGTGAGAGATAGTGAAGAGAGAGATGATGAGAGATTAAGTGAGAGGAGTGAGTGTGAGAGAAATGGTGGGATTTGGGGAGAGGGAAAAAGAGAGGAGAGGAAAGAGTAGATAAAGACATTGAGAAAATGGTGGAGGAGTTATTTTCATTTTAAAAACCGTATCACTTTACGCGACGAACAATATTGTTGGTCGCGCAAAGTTTTGCGCAACGAAAAATATTATTCGTCACGCAAAGTTTTGCGCGACGAAATATATTGGTCGCACAAAGTAAAAAAAAAAAAAAAAACCCACGCCCCAGT